CGCGAGTGGGGCCTGCCCTTTGCTCGGTGGGACCCCCTGGGACTTGCTCACGGCCCCTCTTTCTTTGTATTTAACGATGCTGAGGGCTCAGGGCAGTGCCCGCCTGCGTGGTCTGAGCCTCCCACACTGTCCCTCTGTTCTTGTCCGGGTCCCCGTCCTCCTCGGTGCTGGGTCCTGGCCCCTGACGTGCTGGCAGACGTGTTTGTGCCCGAGCACACGTGTCACAGGCCCCTCGCCCTGCGGCGGGTCGAGGGGTCGATGGGGCCGGTGTCTGGAGGGCGGCTGGTCCGGCCGGAGAGCCGGTTCTCAGTGCCGCCCCTCCTGCAGGTCGGCTCCCACAGGCTCTCCATCTATGAGGAGTGGGACCCCTTCCGGTTCCGGCACATGATCCCCACGGAGGCGCTGCAGCTGCGGGCCGTGGCCAGTGCAGGTAGCGCGTCCCGCCCCCGCCGCCCCAGTCTCCACGCCTCTGACTTCCCGCATGGCCGACCACGTGAGGGTGCGGGCCGAGTGAGCGGGTGCCAGGCCTCAGGGTGGGGCCGAGGCGTCAGTGTCACAGGGACCCTCCCGGAGAGCACTGAGCCCAGGAGCAGTGGGTCCTCGGGAATACCTCACGGGCCTTTTACCGGGACCCCGACGGCCCACAGCACAGAAAGGCCGTGGGGTTCGGAGCGCAGGGGGGAGGGAGAGGGAGAGAGAGAAACAAAAAATAGGAAAAAAAGATCATGGGATGTATTTCCCCAACACAAACACACACACAAACACACACAAACACACACCACACCCACACACTCTCACAGTCACACACTCACACACTCACACAGTCACACACACACACAGTCACACACACACACACAGTCACACACACACACACAGTCACACACACACAGTCACACACAGTCACACTCACACCTCACACACACATAGTCACACACACACAGTCACACACACACATAGCCACACACACTCTCACACACACACACACACACACACACACATACACACTACAGACACACACACCACACAGGCACACACAGTTACACACACACAGTCACACACATAGTCATACTCACACAGTTACACACACACAGTCACACACACAGTCACACTCACACACACACACACTACAGGCACACACGCGCACACACACTCCCGCGGTGCTGGTGTGCAGGCTGTGGGGCGGTTCTGTCTCCGCGATCAGGTTCTCCGTGTGGGGAGCAGCCAGTGCGCTCGCTGAGGCAGGGCCTTCCGCCTGCGGGGTGGCAGCGGCCAGCTCTGCCTCCGGCCGCCGGGCGAAACCCGAGGCCATGGCTCTCCTGGGCACACCCTCCAGGAGCACTGTGGGGGCGATCCTCATACAGCACCCCTCGTCCGGTCGCTGGTGAACCTCGGTGACCCCCCACGCTGAGCTGGAGGCAGCTCCTCCTCGCACGCCGGGCACGGCGGTTTGGGTGTTAGCCTAGAAGGTTCCCTGCAGCCTTCCAGCTCCCAGGGTCCCCTCGGGCCTCGGGCCCTTTCATTGTGAAGCTGAGTGATGCCTGGGTTTTCGGGAGCCGGACGCAGGGGTCTGCAGCAGCTGCATGATGTGCTCAGCTCCAGGCACCCAGTGCTGGCGCCGTCCTGCCTGTCGGTGATGGAGGCCTGTGGTCACGGCCAGTGGCAGGCCTCGCGGCCAGGGGCGTGGCTGTCACAGAGAACGAAATGCATCCGCACTGCCTTTGGGAGACAAAGCCTTCTTGTGATCGAACACTCCATCCTCACCCTCTTTTTCTCCTCCATCAAGATAGAAGCTTTTTTAAAAAAAGTTTTAATTGATTTCAGAGAGGGAGGAGGTGGAAGGAGAGAGAGGGAAACGTCAGTTGGCTGCTCCTGTATGTTCCTGACTGGGGTCGAACCCAGGACTTCGGTGCGGGGTTTTCTCTCAGCCACTGAGCCACGCCAGCCAGGCAGAGCTGTTTTATTTGATGGCGTGATGAAGCCACCGCGTGCCCTCGCCATGAAGTACACGCCAGTGGGCAGTCTCCGCCCTCACTGGCCCCGGACACGCCCTCACCCACTCTTGACCCTCCAGATGCGGACGCCGACACCGCGTGCGAGATCGTCCACGTCAAGTCGGAGTCAGAGGGGAGGCCGGAGCGCGTGTTCCACCTGTGCTGCGGGTGAGCCGCCTGTGTGCGGCGGGTGGGGTGTGGCACCACGGTGCAGGGGCGTGGCCTGGGCGTGGCCACGGGTGGGGCGTGGCACCACTGCTGGGGGGGTGGCATGGGTGTGTCTTGCTCAGGGGGCGGGCTGTGGGTGTGGCAGTGCAGATTGGAGGGCAGAGTGGGTGTGGCTGAGCTGCTCAGGGGGGGCGGGACCCCCCCCCCCCCAGGCAAACAGCTGGGCTGGGCCTGGGGCTGGAGGCGCCTTCCTTCAACCTGGTCCTCAGGGGTTGGTTTGGGGCGCCTGCGACCTCTCCTGATCACTGTCTCCTAACACGGTACCCTCCCCACAGCTCCCCCAAGAGCCGCAAGGACCTGCTGAAGGCCGTGCACTCGGTCCTGCGGGACAAGCACCGGCGGCAGCTGCTCAAGGCCGAGAGCCTGCCCTCGTCCCAGCAGTACGTCCCCTTCGGAGGCCGGCGGCTGTGCGCGCTCAAGGGGGCCCGGCCCGCCATGAGCAGGGCAGGTACTGTGGGCTCGCCGCCCGCCCGGGCCCCGCCACCCCCGTGCCACCGCGCAGCCGAGGCAGCCGCCGTCCTCGTGGGCGACACGTAGCCGTGGCCGTGGCCGTGGCCGTGGCCGTGGGGCCGGTGCTGCGGGACCCGGGTGAGGGCCTCGCCTGCCCGGGCCTCGCCACCCCTGTGCCACCGCGCAGCCGAGGCAGCCACCGCCGTCCTTGTGGGCGACACGTGGCCGTGGCCCTGGGACCCGGGTGAGGGCCTCGCCTGCCCGGCCCCCGGGTCAGAGCTGCGCTGGCTCCTCTTGCCCCCGGGCTCCCCGTCCCTCCCCGGCTGCCCAGCCTCTTCACCGCGGCCCGGCCCGGGGCTGACACCCTCCCGGTGGAGGCGGCGGCCTGCGGGTGGGGCCCCCGCTTTGCATGGCGCCAGCTTTGGAGCGGGAGCACCCCCTGGGGACGTGGCGGCTCTGAGCCGTGCAGAGGCGGCCGTGTGGAGCCTGGTGCCTGCCCGCCTCGCGCCCCTGCCTGTGCCCTGGCTGTGTCTGCAGCGGGCGCCATGCGGGCCCCTGAGCTGCTGCTGGAGCGGGTGCGGGTGAACGGGCGAGCACAGGCGCCGTCAGAGTGAGCACTGCGCCTCTGGGTGGGGGTGCTTGCCTGACATCGGGCGCTCACCCTGGGTCACCCCTTTCCTCAGAGGCTCCCCCACGTGTGTCTGAACAGTGTCCCTCTGTCCGCTCACCTGCGTCCGTGTGGTGAGGTGGCCCAGGATGGGGTGCCACGCGCTCAGGACCGAGCCTGCGGGCTGCAGCAGACCTCCCCCCACCCCTCCCCTAACAGACGGCAGGGGGTCCTCAAATCTGTCTCCACCCACAGGGGTACCAGGCCCCTCCGGGCCCCCGTGGCCCCCAGGTTCCCCACGGTCCCTGCGGAAAGCCTGGCTGGCCCTCCACGGGGGCTTCTCCTGGGAATTGTCTGCCAGGCGTGTCTTGTTAGGACGGGAGCATGTCCGCCCGCCTCTAGCTCCCGTCCCGGAGCCTCCGTTTCCTGACGGTGAACACCAAGTCTAGGCCACGCGGAGTGTCCATCTACCCGCCTCTCACCGGGCACATCTCTCCCGGGAGGTCCCTGTGGGAGGAGAACAGCCCGCCCGCCCGCCCGCCCGCTCCTCGGCTCCGAGAGCGCGCCTGGGCCGAGGGCAGGCTCACTGCCCTGCGGTGCTCACGTTAGACCCGGGGTCAGCAAACCGCGGCTCTCGAGCCACATGCGGCTCTTTGGCCCCGAGTGTGGCTCTCCCACAAAATGCCACGGCCTGGGCGAGTCTGTGTTGAGGAAGTGGCGTTAGAAGACGTTTAGGTTTAAAAAATGTGGTTCTCCAGAGAAATGTCGATCGTTGTCCTGTTGGTATTTGGCTCTGGTGACGAATGAGTTTGCCGACCACTGGGCTAGAAGATGTAGAAAAGGCGCTTGAGTGGTCAGCACAGACCGCTGGTCAGCATTAACCGCGACCGCAGGTACCGGCCAGAGCGCCTCCCAGCCCGGCAGCTGGTGGTCACCTGTCCAGGTTACGGAGGGACTCCTGCGCCCTCAGGCACGTCCCCGGGCCCAGGGCCCTCCCCCTCGGTCCTGTCTGTGGTTACTGAGCTCATGACCACGGCGCTCAGTGTGGCCAGCCCCCGTTAGACATCTCTGTTCTTCCCACTGTGTCCTCGGGAAACTTCCAGACTCAGCCCCTCCGGGAAGCCGTGCACGTTCAGTCTCACCCTCCGGAGTTGGTGTTTTTCTGTGCTTTCATGACCACACATCTATCCGCCTGTCACCCATCACCTCACCGTGTGTGGACACATGTCTAAGATTCAGACGCGGCACCCTGGCCCCTGCACCCTCTGCACACGGTCACGGGCGGTGTCCTGTCGCCAGTTTTGAGGGGGCCCTTCCTTGGCGGGCCCGTGGGTGACGGGAGCGGAGTGGCTGCTGCTCCCAGGGGAGGCAGCAGGTGCTTTCTCTGTTTTTCCTTTTTCCCTGGAACTGGTTTCCATCCCCCTGCTGGTTGGACCACTAGACGAGGATGCCGGAAGCACGGCCATCAGCTGGGCGATGCTGGTGCAGCAGCCACATCTCACCAGGAGGGGGCAGCAGCGTCCTCATGTCTGTCTCGTGTGCGCGTGTGTGTGCGTGTATGTGTGTGTGTGTGTGTGCGTGTGTGTGCGCGTGTGTGTGTGCGTGTATGTGTGCTTTGGCTTGATTGATTGGGTGGCGTCTTCTGTTTGTCTATCTGAATGGTCCCCAGAGGAGGGTGGGTGCGGGTCCCAGAGGAGGGTGGGTGCAGGTCCCAGAAGGGGGTGGGTGCTGCAGGGTGAGCGCAGAGACTAACGGTGTCCCTGTAGCTCCGCCCATCCCCTGTCCGGGCGGCCCTCCTTCTCATCGCCCCGGCCCGGTGTTTCCGTGGCGCTGCCTGGGGGACATGGCTGACATGGGACACGGTCGGGGGGACCCTTAGCCTCGTAGGGCACAACAGCGCCCTCACCACGTGGAGCTCGGGGTCCCTCCCCGCTGGTTCTGTGCGAGGAGGCGCGCCCTCCACCCAACTGCTGTCCCCGGACCGGGACCAAGCCCCCCAGAGGCCAGATAGTGGGACCGAGCCCCCCGGAGGCCAGATAGTGGGACCGAGCCCCCCAGGGGCCAGATAGTGGGACCGAGCCCCCCAGAGGCCAGATAGCGGGACCGAGCCCCCCAGAGGCCAGATAACAGGACCAAGCCCACCAGAGGCCAGGTAGCGGGACCAGATAGTGGGACCGAGCCCCCCGGAAGCCAGATAACGGGACCGGCCCGCAGCCCTCCCCCCGGTGTCTGGGGCCGCCGTCTGAGCGCAGTGGGCACCTGCGCCCTGCCTGCCGGGCGCCGGGAGAGGGTGCCCTGCCCCCATTCCTGGGCCCCGGCTTCGGGCGGGCATGGGCCCCGCGGTAAGCCGTGTCTGTCTCTTGTGCCGCGCAGTGTCCGCGCCCAGCCGGTCGCTGGGCAGGAGGAGGCGGCGCCTGGCCCGCAACAGGTTCACCGTGGACGCGGACGCGGTGCCCGGCAGCCCCGAGCGGCCGCCCGGCGCGGACACGGACCGGTGGGTGGAGGAGCAGTTCGACCTGGCGCCCTACGAGGAGCCGGAGGAGCCGGAGGACCTGCCGGAGACCGACATCCTCAGCGATGACGACGGTGAGGCCGCCGAGGCCCCGGGCGCCGGGGCGGGCCTGGCGGGGCGGCTGCAGGCGGCCTCCCTGGGCCCGCGGGGCCGGCTCCGGGGCCGGGACCCGGACCGGGACCGCGGCCGCCCGGACGGCCACGCGGCGCGCATGGCGCAGCTCAGGAAGCAGGCGGCGCTGCCGGGCGGCCCCGAGCCCGCGGGCCCCGAGGTGGTCTGGGTGCGGCGGGAGGAGCTGGCCTCGCCGGGGGCGCTGAGCACGGAGATCTGACGGGCCCCACCCGCCCTCCCGCCCCGGGCGGGCTGCCCCGGACGGGTGCCCCGGGGCGGCTCTGGCACACACAGCGCTGGCGGCTGACTGTGCGCGGAGCTGCACGCCCGGTCACCCGGTCACCCCGACACCGGACCGCATTGCTCCTCCCTCCCAACCACGGACTCCAATCGGGCGGGAGAGAGAAGTGGGAGCTTCTGGCCGGAAACCAGGAAACCAGACCGGGCTGCATGCCCCTCGCTGTCCTATGAGCCATTGTCCCTCCTGGGGGCCAGGTCGGAAGGTCTAGTTTTGCAGAGAATTCCTTATAAAGATGCCAAACTCTGAGAGAGCCACAAGTCACTTGAAGAAATAGATGCTATTTTTTGTATTTTGCCTGCGAGGCAGGAGCGGAATGCGAGTGGCAGTGGGTGCCTCTTGCAGAGAGCGGAGGGCTCTGTGCTTCCATGTGCGAGGCCTGCAGATGCCGGCCCCGAGGGCTGGTGTGTGTGTTTGCTGGGCCCCGTGGAGGGAGGAGGGGTTGCCATGGAGACCGAGGGCTGTCCAGAGTTACATCTTCATTCCCAGAGTGCCCGCCCTTCCCCACAACCCACAGCCTCACCTCTTCCCAGAACACGTTGGTGTGACGCGTTCTTCATGCCAACAAAACAGGGTAAACACGCCAAGCACCAACCCCTGTCTATACCGGTTTCCAAGTAGGGACAAGACAAGTTAAAGCACTTTCGATTTATTATTTTTTTTAAAGAAAAGGTTTATAGCTTTCCCCCCGCCCCCCTTTCACAATGCCCACTTCCTAAGAGGGGTTTAAATAATATAAAAACTTTCTTTTTTTGGGGGGGATATCTATTTGGTGTTTGACACATCAGTAGGTACTGTAAAGGCCTGCCTTTTATAGCTGCTCCCGGCTCCCTTTTATACAGATCCCGTGACTTTATATTTGCAGACTAGAGAGCTCTGCTCGCTCGCTCGCGCCCGCTTGCTTCTGCTCCCCGCCGGCCGCCGGGCTGCCCCGGGCTTCCCGCTTGGTCTCTGGAACCTTCTGACCCTCTTGGCTTCTTGCTCTGTCTTCTGATTTCCTGAAAACGCTGTGGCTATGCCCCTCAAGTCTCCGCACTGTCCACGCCGTCCCCGTGGGTGTGTGGGACAAAGGGGAGCCAGCTGCTGTGGCCACTTCGGGCCCCGGCAGCGGGCCCGCGGAGAGCAGAGGGGAGGGGGTACGTGCAGGGCGCCGTGTCGCGTGTACATAAGTCATGACGTGTCCATGTCCAAAGTTCTTATATATTTCTTTTATAAGCGGAAAGAAGGTCTATTTTTGTGTTTTTAGGTCTATGAATGGAATGATGTAAATGCCTGTCAGTCCAACAATAAAATGGTTGAAAAGCGTTTGGACAGCCTTGTGCTTTTTTGGGTCCTTGGGAGCCGTCAGCGGGCAGAGCACAGGAGAAGGTTCTGGAATGCTTCTCTTGCCACTAAAGAATACGGTCCTCCAAGGAGAGCTGAGCTGGTAGAAGCTTTTTATGAAAAACTAGAGGCCTGGTGCACGGAAATTTGTGGGAGGGGAGAGCTCTCAGCCCAGCCTGCCCCCCTCACAGTCCGGATCCCTCAGGGGATGTCCTACTGACGGCTTAGGCCTCCCTAAGCCTCAGTCTGGCTCCCCCTGCAGGAGGTGACCTGGCTGATCAGGGGAAGGTGCTGCCCCATCACGCTGCTGCTGCTGCCACTGCCGGCCACTGCAGCCGCCAAGGTGTTTTCATCAACACGGAGTCCAGTCCCTTCACCACGAAAAAATGACAAACTTTTGGCATTTTCAAGATGTATCTTTCAAAGGATATGACATTTCTTTTTATTTTTATTTTTTATCCTCACCTAAGGATATGTTTCCATTGATTTTTAGAGAGCATGGAAGAGAGAGGGAAAGACAGAAACATCAGTGTGAGAGGGACACTTTGATTGGTTGCCTCCTGCATGAGCCCTGACCCGTGCCCCGGCCAGGGAGGAGCCTGCAGCCTAGGTACATGCCCTTGACCAGAATCAACCCAGACCCTGCGGTCAGCAGGCCGAGGCTCTATCCGCTGAGCCACACCGGCCAGGGCAGGATGTGACATTTCTTAGCTCCTCCAGCAGCAGACCTGCGTTTTTCCTCCAGGAGTGAGGTGGAAAAACCCAGCTCACCTTGGATTCTTATTACCCAAGTTACCAAGAACACTGCGAGGGGCAGCGTACAGGGAGCGCAGCTAGTGAGCGGCCAGAAAAGGGTTTCCTCGGCAGCTCACACACAGAGGCGGGCTGGCAGTCTCTTCTCCGGGCTGTGCTGTCCAGGCTTGCCTCACCGAGCACAGCCGCCTCCTGAGTGGTCGTGACGTCACGGCGTTCCAGACAATTTGCATGTTACCTCTTTACATATACATATATTTGACATGTATTTTTTTTATTGAGGCACAAATGACATGTTAGGGTCAGGTGAGCAGCACACGACTGGGTGTTTGTATGACGGGGAGGGGTCCCCGCAGTAGTTACCCTCCCTCGCCGGGCGCGGCTCTGGAACCCGCCTTCCTGTGACGGGGCAGTGAGGCTTCAGGCTCCCGCTGCGTTCACATGTTCAACGTGAGTGTGGCCACGCCCACACGCGGAGGTCACGGCTGCGGCTGTGCTGAGCCCCTCAGGCACCCACTCTGTTCTCGGTCCATGAGTGAGAGAAGCATCGATCAGCTGCCTCCTGCACATTCCCTATTGGGGATGTGCCCGCAACCAAGGTACATGGCCTTGAACCCGGGACCTTTCAGTCCGCAGGACGATGCTCTAGCCACTGAGCCACACTGGCTTTGGCTCTCCTTGTTTTTTAAAAAACATATTTTATTGATTCTAGAGAGGAAGGGAGAGGCAGAGGGAGAGATGGAAACATCTGTGATGAGAGAATCGTGGATTGGCTGCCTCCTGCACGTCCCCCGATTGGATGGAGCCTGCGACCCGGGCCTGTGCCCTGACCCTGACCTCCTGGTTCACAGGCCCACGCCCAGGCACTCAGCCACACCACTCCAGTCAGGACCTGACTGGAGAGACGTTCAGAGCACCACGCCCCACGAATGAAATCATATGGCTGTATCTCTTTCTGTAAGTGGAGCTGGAAGTCTTAACGAAAACAATCGAGGTATTACGGCTGCTCAGCATCCTGGTCCACTGATGGGGCGACGAGGCAGCACAGATGAGGGTCTGTCCCGGGCTCTACACCGAGGACTGTCTCCTGCCCTGTGGGGAGCTCTGAGCCCAGGCTCCGCCTCCACACTTGGGTCCCTGGGGTGCTGTCTCCTGGATCTTCCACAGAATCACACCCAGCAAAGGCGGGTGCAGCCCGGCTCTCTTCCCAGGCCGGCCGCCTCCACATCCCCTTCCCCTTCCCCTTCCCCTTCCGCAGCCCCCTACAGGCCTTACAGTCCCAGTTCACTCGGCCACACCTGCCTCCCGGGGACCCGGCTCCCCAGACCAGCAGATGCTTCCGGAAGCCGGGCAGGGCTGGCCGCTGTTGGGCCATTTGCTCCCTGTGGTTTGTGGGCTCCAACGCTTCCGCCTCAGATCCTGACTGGAAAGACATCCAGAGCACCACGCCCCATCACACACACCCATGCACACACACGCAGGTGCATGCACACACTCATGCATGTACATGTAAGCGCACACACGCACAAACACCCATGCACACGCACGCACACCCACGCACACACTGAACCCCTGGTTTCACAGGACCCCGCGATGCAGGGGCAGGCCCAGGTGTGAGAGAGGTGTTGCTTGCTGGGGGCCTGACGGGGAACCACCCCCCTTTGTTCTGAGGGCGTCCGGGCCCCACTGGGCCCCGCTGGCGGGACTGTCCCACGGTCCGGCCGGGGCCGGGAGGTTCGGGCAGTGGCGGCTCTTCCTGTCCCGTCACAGCCCCGTGGAGGGACCTCGCTCCTACCAGAAGCCATTTCGTGCTGACCTCTCCATCCGGCTCCGGCCCGGCCTCGGGGCTGCAGGACACCTGTCGCTGTCCACACACCCGCTGTCCACACTGTGCTGGTGCGGCCCCTCAGGTCTCAGGGTCACACCCACCGTCCAGTCCTCGCACTGCTCTAAAACGTGACCCCCACCCCCTCCTCCAGGAGGCGTCTGTGCAGGAGGAGGGTCCGGAGGGTCCAGAGCAGGAGCAGGAGGGGCCCCGTGGGCCGAGGGCGCGTTCCTGTCCTCGGCGCCTGAGGCGGGAACAGGAACCTCCCAGCCGGTCCCTGGGCCCGTTGTCCCCCCCCAGGGGGCCGAGTATGTAACCGTCATGGAGCCACAGGAGTTCACTCTGCTCTGGTCCGAACACGAAGCTCCCCCAGCCCGTGGCCCCTCCGTGGTCCCCAACCTCGTTTGGCCACGCCCCCCAGCATCTCCAAAATCTGACCCCGCCCCGCCATGACACAGGATCCTGGATTAAAAAGTGACCCTGTTCACGGGGCCGAGCCTGGAAGGCCGTGAACTGGTCTACACAAGCCCCCAAAGAGCCTGGCAGCCACGGAAGAGGAAAATAAAACGGGTCCAGGCCACCTGCCCGGCGTGGGCACAGGGCTGGCTCCGGACAGGAGCCCCGACAGTCCTCAGCGCCTGCCAGCCGGAGTCCCAGGTGGGCCCGAGGTCAGCACCTGTGGGCACGCACCCTGGCCCCTCCCCCTGGCCCCTCCCCCTGGCCCCTCCCCCTGGCCCCGCCCCTGGCCCCTCCCCTGGCCCCTCCCCCTGGCCTCTCCCCCTGGCCCCTCCCCTGGGTTCCTCCCCCTGGACACCTCCCCCTGGCCCCGCCCCTGGCCCCTTGGGCCCCTCCCCTGGGCACAGCACCCTGGCCCCTCCCCTGGCCCCTCCCCCTGGGCTCCTCCCCCTGGACACCTCCCCCTGGCCCCTCCCCTGGCCCCCTGGGCCCCTCCCCCTGGGCACAGCACTCTGGCCCCTCCCTTGGCCTCTCCCCCTGGCCCCTCCCCCTGGGCTCCTCCCCCTGGGCCCTCCCCCTGGGCCCCTCCCCAGGCCCCTCCCCCTGGGCCCCTCCCCCTGGGCACGGCACTCTGGGGATCCTTTCCCTGGGCCCTCCCCTGGGCCCTCCCCCTGGGCCCCTCCCCCTGGGCCCCTCCCCAGGCGCCTCCCCCTGGGCCCCTCCCCCTGGGCCCTCCCCCTGGGCCCTCCTCCTGGGCCCCTCCCCAGGCCCCTCCCCAGGCCCCTCCCCCTGGCCCCTCCCCCTGGGCCCTCCCCCGCCCCTCCCCCGGCCCCTCCCCTGGGCCCCTCCCCCTGGGCCCCTCCCCAGGCCCCTCCCCCTGGACACCCCCTGGCCCCTCCCCCGGCCTCTCCCCTGGCCCCTCCCCCTGGGCCCCTCCCCCTGGCCCCCTGGGCCCCTCCCCCTGGGCCCCTCCCCCTGGGCACGGCACTCTGGGGAACCTTCCCCTGGGCATCCAGGTGAGGACACGGGGTTGAGCTCCAGCCCTAAGCTCTGTAAGAACACTCACCTCCCAGGTAGGCCTCCCCGGGCTAAGGGGCCCCTGACCTCCCTGGCCCGCCCCCGCGTGGCCGGGAGAGGAAGTGCGGGCGCAGCGCGGGCTCTGCCTCCCGGCGGAGCGGAGGCTGCTGAGCTGGAGGAGCGCCTGCACTTCCCCCCGTGGCCAGCAGGGGCCGCTCTCACACCGCCTACATTTTGGGGCCAAAGCGGACTCAGCCTCCCTCCGGCCAAAGATGATGGCTTTTCTCCTTTTATTCTTATTTTTTTAAATTAAATTTCCCTCCCGCTTTTCTCCCTTTATAAAGAAGGTTCCTTCCAGGGGTCCCACCTGAGTCCCAGCGTCTCTTTCCTGCACCTCCGTCCCCCGGTGACTCGGAGGCGGGTCCACGCGCCTCTAACAGGACAGTTAACCAGCAAAGCCCTCTGTGATGGATGAAAAGGAATCGGTCAGACATTTCCTTACAGTTTCCTCGGCGTGGACAGCAGCGGCGGCCTCCGGAGACGCCGCCCGCAGGGGCTCACCGCCCGGGGCTGGGAGGCCCGATGGCATGTCCCTGGCGCCTGGGCTTTAGGGCCGGGCTCCCCGGGGGAGCAGGGAGACAGCACCCCTTTAACCAGCACCTGCGGCCCAGCAGGGTGCAGGGTGCAGGGTGCAGGGTGCAGGGTGCTCCCCCCCCCCCCCGGACTCAGCGGTCCCTGCGGCTGTGGGGCCGGAGGCTGGTCTCAGGCCTCGTGTCCGGCCGCGGAGGGCCAGGCCGTCCGGATGCCACTGGGTTCCGCCTGCTCTGGGCTTTGAGGAGCGTGACCGACTCAGACCTCCCCCCACGGCGCTGGTCGGGACAGGCCAGGGGACGGCGGGTCTTGCAGAAGAAAGAGGTTTGTTGTCGGGA